CCCGTTTGATACGGGAAATGCGGATTAAGGATGGAAAAGGATCATAGAAACATCCGATATTTCGGTAATATGTGCTATTGATATTATTGTTTCAACTACAATCTTATTCTAGTTGACATATCATTATCGCAAAAAAATTTATTTGCTCAGGCCACCCAAGTTATGTCCACATATCCAAACGCGATTGGATGCCAAAATCGTGACTTACGATTTGATGATGATCAAACCGCGACTGGTAATTTTAATGTCAATTATTAATATTGAATGCGTTATTATTATGATTGTATGATGAGACGAAATCATGTTTGCCGTTAACAATAAGTTGCGAATTTACGTGGAAGAAAAATAGGTAACGACGGTAAAATAAAAGGTCGATCACGCCGTCGAAATATACGAACGCATTACCGGTAAATAGTCATGCAATAGTTTTTCTTGTACTTATACGAGATATCTTGATATAAATTATACAAATAAGATGTGACAAAATCAACTTCTCTTTTTGATCTTGTTTAAGCGATCGACAGCCGTGTCACCGAAAATGAGAATTATAAAATGTTGGTTTATTTTCGTAATCTCAGACATTCATCATGCCAAAGAAAAAGAAATCAGGTAATAAGGCGTCTACTACTCAAAGCTCTTCGGCAGCAACACAAGCGACTGCAACAACGCCAAAGTCGGAAGATAACACATCCTCACAGTCACCAGCAGCACCGCCTAATGCTGATTTTAAAGAGCAGGACGATGACCAGCAAGCACAAGAAGAACAACAAAAGGGATTTAAGGGACGGGCAAAAAAGGATATGCAGCATGTTACTGGGTACGTAGCCGAAAGAGAAGGTGAGGACATTGATCAGGCACAATTAGACAAGGTAAGAGGAAGAGAAGGGTTTGTGAGGAATGCAAACTGGATTTGTACAATTCGAGTTTATGCAGATATTCGTGAATGCTAGACAGTTTCGTTTTTTATGGTGCTTTTCTGTCCTGTAGGCAATGAGCTTTGTGAATGAACAGTTTGCGAAACTAAAATCGCAGAAGACCCAAAAGTAATGTTCTCGTTTGCATGATGTTTGAAAGCATGTTTCTTTCTTCACCTTGTTAATGCCTACTCGCCTCTCTCTCTAGACAAAAAACATATGAGAAAATTTCAGTGTCTAAAGAAGATATAGATCTTATTGTAAGTTTATAACTAAGATTTGAATCCAGGAATGTATGGTTCTTGGCACTGTCCATTAATTTTCGCCTACCGCAGGTATCTGAAATGGAAGTCACAAAAGCAGTAGCCGATCGATGTCTAAAAGAAAATCAAGGCGATGTCGTGGCTACCTTAAAAGCTATGATTGATGGCTGCTGCTGAAAATATTGCTGCTGTTGTGATGAGAGTGAACAGGTCGAATAATAAGATTTTTGTCATATAGATCAGTTAGTACTAGAGAATTAATGTCTGTTCGCAGTCAGTTAGCTTCTGTAACACCCTTTTTATCATTTAAATAACTTTTCTGCGGTTATGTACATAACTCTGGTGAGGTTCGCAATCAGAATGGATGTTGACCTTGAAGGATGTTATGAAAATTAGAGGTTTAAAAAACGCGTCGCTGGTAATATTTGTGATAACCTATTCCTCTACACCTGAATGAAATGTATGAAATTTATTTTAGTAGGTTTATGTTTTGCGCGTTGAAAACCCTGCTCGCTGTCTGATGATACTGGTTGTGGAAATCTGGCATGGTTTCCATGTCGCTCTCTTCAATGATACTGATACATTGCTCAGAACGTGATATAGAAACGCTCTTTAAACTGCAAAGTAGCTTCTTTATTATGATTGATTTATAATATGGATCATAGTCCTCTCAAATGTTTGGGTTGTAATGTCGGTGCGTATGTGATTTACACCAACCTAAACCATGAGGGCGAGGACTCTGAAGAAATATGTTGCCACGGTTATTGGAATTCTTGTTTATTTGTAATAATCTTTTTGCTATAATATGCCTTCATATTAATATTCGGGAATATTTTGGATTTGTCAAAGATCACATGACCGAGTGATTCCATAGTACTATGATTTCACGCGACGCGTCGTCATATTAACAACACTCTCTCAACATATTTTATCTACCATTACTGATAACTGACCTAATATACTCTAAAACAATGCGTATCGAAGAATTAATTATTGAAGGATTCAAGTCTTATGCTGTTCGTACCCATATTACTGGCTGGGATCCCGAGTTTAATGCCATAACCGGTCTTAATGGAACTGGAAAGTCGAATGTGCTGGATGCTATCTGTTTCGTCTTGGGAATGACAAAGCTGGGTCAGGTCTGCATGATCAGCCATGAATGAGGGCTTTGTTGTCGACTGTGACGACTACCTTCCCTGTATTTATCACTTACTTTGTTATCTAGCTCAGAGCAAACAATATGCAAGACTTAATTTACAAACGCGGTCAAGCCGGGATAACAAAGGCTTCAGTAACAATAATATTCAACAATGAAGACCATAGCAAAAGCCCGGTTGGGTTTGAACAATTCAAACAGATAACCGTCACTCGACAAGTAATAATGAATGATCCAAAGTGTTACAATGTTACTTCTCGTTTCTTACTACAATTTGTTTTTTATTTGTCAAGGTGATTATGAGTGGCCAAAGCAAATATCTTGTCAATGGTCATAAAGCTCAACAAAAAGACGTTACGACTCTATTCCAATCTGTTCAACTTAGCATCGACAACCCCCACTTTCTCATTATGCAAGGGAAAATCACAAAAGTACTTAATATGAAACCACCCGAAATTCTTGCCATGATTGAAGAGGCAGCAGGAACTAGAATGTTTGAAGATCGAAAAGAAAAGGCCTTGAAGACAATAGCAAAGAAAGAGAAAAAAGTTGAAGAAATAACTACTGTAAGAAAATCAAATGCCTAGCCTGGTATGGCGAGATATACATATATTCAGTGTTCAGTTTGTTCAATTATTAGCTACTCCACGAAGAAATTGAGCCAAAATTAGAGAAACTTCGAACGGAAAAGAGGTCTTATCTAGAATTTCAAAAAATATCGACTGAAATAGAACGTTTGAATCATTTGATTTTCGCATATGAGTACAAAAAGCATGAGGTACGTGTACAGCATTTGATTTGGTTTACAATAATGGCCTCCTAACGTTTCGTTAATAGGAAAAATTGCGAAAAACGGATGCAGACTTTGGCGCAAAAAAGGATAGGATAGAAGGATTACGCGCGTCCAGCAATCAGTTGAAAGTGGAAATTGATTATTTGCAGAGCAATATCGAGCAGACGACAGCCAAGAAAGAAAAAGTGGGTCGCCTCCTCCTCCCCAACATCTGCTTCCCATGAATTGATGTTGTTTATTGATGCTTTCTTTGTAGGAATTGGGAAACGGCAAATATAATGCATTGGGAGAACGCGTCAAGGAACTTTCTAATGAAGTTGTGCGCATTAATACTAAATGTGACTTGAAAAAAGCATCAATTGATAAAGAACTGCAGAATAAACAGTCGCTGATATCCAACAGGAATGAGGTAAATTGTTGCGTTTTATTATAGTACATAAACGTAGATGGAATTACAATAAAAATTTTGACGTGTATGCAATGCTGCTCCGAAGATGACGCAAGGATTCGCAAAGAAGAAATCTGAATACGAAAAGTTACAGAATAAATTCGAACAAATAAAAAAGTCGCACGATGCTAAACAAGAACAAGTGAGGAAAGAAGAAGAACTATTACAAACTCTAACAACTGGGTTATCAGCTGAAGAAGGCCATGAGAACGGATACATGGAACAACTTCAAGGCAATTATTTAACTATAGATTAACGTGGTCGATGAATTATTTTTTAAACAGAATTTTTGTGTTTAATTTCTTAATAGAGGCCAAAAGCATAGCAACTCAAGCATTGACAGCGACAGAACAAGCAAAAATACAAGTCACGCACATTAAAAAAAAGTTGTCCGAGTTGGAACCACTTGCCAAGGCCGCTCAAAGAGACAACAAAGGATTAACAAATGAATTGGAAACGGCGAGGAAAATTGTCAACGAATTGAAGGTACTTGTCAATTAAGGTGTTTGATCGAAACATCGCGCTCGATAAGCTATATGATGATTGATCGAATTAATAGGAATCACTGGACGGATTGAATTGGGACCTATCTATTGAAGCTGATCTGCTAAAAAGAAAGTCAGAAAAGCAGGCAATTATTCGCCAGCTTAGCGAGGTAGAGAACAGGACATCACGTGTTTGTCTACTCTTTAATCTTACAAGATCCTAACTTGGATTCATTGGACAAATTTTATCTTAATTTGGCCTTAGAATTTGGATTCGTTAACGTCGCAACTGGGGGGGTTGGAATTTACCTATACAGATCCTTCACCCTCTTTTGATCGTTCAAAGGTCAAAGGGCTAATTGCTGAGCTCATAAAACTTGACAAAGACAAGGAGACCTATTCAACAGCACTCGAGATATGCGCAGGGGATCGCTTGTATAATGTATGGATTTCAATGTCAGATTAATGTTAAATGATTGAGGGTCATTCGACACATGAGTCACTCCCAATTTTTTATTCAATTAGGTTGTCGTGGAGAATGAAGTTGTTGCAACTCAACTATTCGAAAGGGGAAAACTGCGAAGACGGTTTACCTTGCTGCCCTTGAACAAAATTAGACCCTATGTATTGGCAGCAGCAGTAAGTCATTTGTCGACTGATATTTCATGTAGGGGAAAATATCGATTTTTATCTAATGCTTTTATTTTGTCATGCAAATAATTTTAAACAGAAAATTAGTGCAGCCAAAAAGCTAGCACCTGGGAAAGTGGATCTAGCACTATCGCTTATTAACGCTGATAGAGAAGTAGCTCTTGCTATGGAACATGCTTTTGGTAGCACTTTTATATGTGCTGATGCTGAGACAGCGAAAAAACTAACCTTCGGTAACGTCAAGGCCAGATCAGTCACTCTTGATGGTGATGTTTACGATCCTTCAGGCATACTTCAAGGAGGGTCGAAGCCAACGTCTTCTGGTCTACTGATAAAAATGCAGCGGCTGAGAGTTATTAAGCTTGAGATTAATGAACACAAACGGGACTTAGACAAGATTAACGCAGAGCTTCAAGCCGCACAGAAGACCATTGCAAAATATAATGAACTTAAAAAGAAATTGGATTTGAAAATTCATGAAGCCGGACTGCTTGAAGAACGTCTGAGAAACAGTAGTAACTCTAAGGTCAACCTACTATCAATAGTATTACAACTAAATGCAAAGGCTTTTCGACTCACATTTGTATTAACTTCAACAGGTTATAAACCAAACACATGAACTTAGGCAACAGTTAATTGATCAAGAGAAGCTTATAGTTGCATCGAACGACAAGCGAAAAGATGCTCTAGAGACATGCAAAAAGATCGAAGCTGAAATGGATGAATTCCATAATAATCGTGAATCTAAATTGAAGGAGATTGAGGTAACTATGGCGCGGTTTGATATATGCTCAATGGCATCTGTATTTATATATTACATCTCACGTTTATTATTTTTAGAAAAGAGTTGCAAAAGGGAAATCAGAGCTCGCTAGTGAAAACCAACGCGTGAAAAACATGCAGCAGGAAGTCCAGACGCTACAATTGGAAATGGGTAATCTGAGTTATTATTTTATGGGTGACTTATTCCGCTTACGCGCTTTCTTGATTAACGAGCTTGCACGTTTATAGAACAGACGGAAGAAGAAATCCAAGGCATAGATAAAGAGATTCAAACTTCAGATGAAACAATACGAAAGTTAACCGAAGATAAAAACACTCTAAAAGATGAATTGTCTGATATACAAGTCTGTTACTGCTTCAACATATTCGCGCTTGTTTTCATTAATTTGATCTCTGCTGATTATCACTCGGTCTTGATTATCTTCCGCACAGGAGCTGCTTAGCAATTCTCAGAAGGAACTACAAAAGGAAAGTGAAATGATATTTGCCTTTGATGAGGAGATAAAGGAACTCCGTGCTGCAATAGAGGCCAAAAATGCACAAGTGACAGATATACAATTAGAACTGTCGAGCATTTTGCATGAAGTGGAACGCTCACAAAAAGAAAAGCGAGATGCTGAAAAAGCAATCAAGAAAATGGAAGATGATATAGAATGGATTTCGCAGAAGAAACAGTGAGTCTAACAGTTGATGTTTACGGCATATGTACTATACTGAAAGTCATTAACAACTGATGACGATTATTTTTGTATCAAGTTTATTTGGTGAACCTAATACTCCATACGATTTCACAACCATCAATATGAATGAGGCTAAACCAACGTTGCGACAATTGGAAGAGCGTTATGCCACAATGAGAAAGAAAGTTAACGCGAAGGTCATGAACATGATTGAGAGGTCTGATATGAAAAGAATAGAGTTTGCAGCAATAATTCGGGATGTCATTCTCAGAGTTAGTTCGTTTTACGGTTTAGTGTTGAGAAGAAGGAAGCATCACTCCAAAACATGCTTGCGCAGGTGAAGAAAGATAAGAAGAGCATAGAAGATACTATTGTACAGCTGGACAACTACAAAAAGGATGCATTGGAAAAGACTTGGCGGAAAGTCAATGGGTATGTGTGAGAGTGGAGATAATTGGGGAATTAACATAAAGGGATTCGCTAAGATGAGGGCATTAATAATCTTAATAACGCACGCAACTATAAATTTCGTAGAGAGTTTGGGCCTATATTCAACGAATTGTTACCCAATAGTTTTGCCAAACTACAACCGCTTGAAGGAAAACAGTTAACTGATGGGTTGGAAGTTAAAGTCTGTCTCGGGGGCGTTCAGAAGAAGAGTTTGACTGAGCTCAGTGGTGGACAGAGGTACCCTCACAACACTTGTCTTATTTATTGCGAAACAATCATCACAAGCTAATCTACTGTTTATAATGTTATTTGTAGATCGCTCATTGCACTATCTCTTATTTTGTCACTACTCCAATTTAAGCCTGCTCCAATGTACATTCTTGACGAGATAGATGCAGCACTTGATCTATCTCATACTCAGAACATTGGTCAATTACTAAAATCACGGTTCAAAGGATCTCAATTTATCGTGGTGTCGCTCAAGGACGGAATGTTTAATAATGCTAATGTCTTATTCAGAACAAAGTTCCGTGATGGAACGTCTTACATTGGTTAAACCGTTAATTAGTGTAGTAAGTGGTATCAATAAATCGTAACAAATAACGATGAAGTTTTGGGATCAATTAGATGTCCGTTGCGTGCTTAAGGAAATGTTGGTTGTTGGAAACCCTTGTAATATTTACGATTTTAATAAATGGCTCAATATTTTTTAACCCAAACTTTATTAGATTCTCCCATTGCCATACTATTTAATTTTTTATCTATAGTTAATTTTATCGCGTTTGAACCTGTAAAAATAATATTTGAAGTTAGAGACAAACAAACAAAGGCTTTCAAAAAGCATGACGTAGCCTACCAGGTCATCAATCTTTAAAAGCATTTTGACGGTTTCTGCTGCCAGTTCTATCGCGCTTGTCGACACAAGCAAGGGTTGAATCACGTTCTCATCAAGAATATTGGTTATGGTACCCTGAAAAGTATTACAAATTTTTACAAATTACATAAGAACATTATTGTGATACTGTTATAGGCTGCTTTAGTACGAACCTTTCGAACGTTAATGCCAGCTGTTGCCTCTCCTTTAGCGTGTCGATTTCGTAATTCCGTAACTATCGCAATTGGATTAAGTCCAGCATTTTCTGCCAATGTTGTCGGAATGACTTCGAGTGCTTCAGCAAACGCTTCAAAGCAATATGCTTCCATTCCTTTAAGCGTTTTCGCATATGTAAGCAACTTTTGCGACACTTCAATCTCTGGAGCTCCTCCGCCAGCGATCAGTGCTCTGCAGCATGCCAGAAGTAGTCAGTACTTTCCTTCAGAACGTAGCTACGAATAAGGCACATATATGAATCTTACTTCTTTTTAACTAGACATCGTACTACGCAAAGTGCATCGTGCAAAGATCGTTCGGCTTCTTCAAGCACTAATTGATTTGCTCCACGAATCAACACAGAGACCGTCCTCCCGTTATGCTTTACTCCAGTAACTTTAACCACGCGAGCACCCGACGTTTGAACTTCGTCAACTAGTTCTGCATAGCCAAGCTTCTCTTCTGAAAAGGATTCTATATCCGCAATTGGTTTACAGCCTGTGCTCTACAACAGCCAAAAAGGTTAGATCGATACAACATATACGTGAATTGTATCAAACAAAAACAAAAAAGAAAAAGCAAACCGCTAAAAAGCTCAACCTTGCAGATAAATTCTATCTCGTCTCTTTCAATGTCTTTAATTACTAAAATCTTCAATTTGGCCAAGAAATGCAGCGACAAGTCATTGACGGCATCTCTGAGGATAGATTTTTGAATAAACAATACATTACATCCTGCTTTCTTTATTTTTTTGCACATGTTTAGCAGATATTGTCGTTCTTCTTTTAGAATTTTGTCCATCAATCGGTAGTCATTTACAACGAGTTGATTCTCCATCTAATAAGCGGGATAATGAAATGATTAACGGTTATGCGCATTTCTGTAATAATCAAGTTTAACAGAATCAATTATACTTGCATCTGGCTTTGGTGGTGATAATTGGAATTGAATGAGACCAATCTTTGCTCTCTCAACGTGTGTCGGGCCACCGGCACTCTTGATAACGTTTTGGGCTAAGACTAAACCATCAACCAACTCGGTATCATCAATGGTGCCCCCAACTTTCTTCACTATGCGAACATCTTTCAAGTCAACGTTTGTGGCTGTGGTCGTGTCGATTACACGGAGAACTGAATCCACTGCAATAGGAGCGAGAAGACCAGAGTATTGCGAAACAATCTATGGTTCCGTTTAATCGTTAAGTAGACTGTATAAGAAAATTACTACGGATCCTAGAAGAAACGACAAACCTTGGAATTCAATGCGGTGCTGGCTGCTCTCATGAGTGAATCCCGATCGGTCAAATCAATCTTGGTAGACATTTCCGTAAGAAACTCTGAGGCTTTTGACGCTGCTCTCTGGAACGACTCTGCAATAGTTGTTGGATGTATACCTAATAATGATGTAAACATCAATATAATTGACAAGAGACAGCGAAAAAAAAAACACAACTTTTATCTGTATACCTTTAGAAAGAAGTTTCTCAGAAGCTCTTAACAAGGCTCCCGCTATAACTACGACTGATGTAGTTCCATCCCCAGCTTCAACGTCTTGTGCAGCTGATAGGTCAACGAGCTATGATGATGAGAGGTTATCAGAAGACCATTTCCGCGTGAAATATATCAGACACTAACGAACAGTCTATACCATTTTCGCTGCTGGATGCAAGACAGCCATATGCTTCAAGATCGTAGCCCCATCATTCGTAATAACCACTTCTCCACTTCCCGTTTGAATCTAAAAGTATTTATTGTTAGTTACTTTTGATTGGAGCGATAGTACAATTGCAAGAAAATAACGTTAAGCTGATTCAATCAGTCGCATCTCAATGAATGAAATCAATGTAACGAATTGGAGTAAGCTGATTCAAAAGCGACGGATCAACGCGTCGCGTAAACGACCAACATAAAGAATTATTACAGAAAACGATTATAAAAGCATGCAGAAGATAGGATGAAAATGGAATGAATTTATTGTCATGTTTATGCATTGATCTTTGCCACGAGCAAATTCCAACTGACTCTCTAATTGTTTGATTAAAAATTACTGAGCGGTAAATGCAAAATGGAAGCCCTCTGAGACTTACCATCTTATCCATACCTTTTGGACCTAGTGAGGTACGTATTGCGTCACCCACAGCTACAAAGGGATAATAAAGGAACAGGTCAAGCTTGGTAATCTCATATAACAGCAGTTATTATTTAAGCGTACCTTTTGCTGCGATGATATTACTGAGGCGGACCTCAACGGGTTTTTCTTTGTCCTTGAAAGAATTGCGAGAGGCGCCCTTGTTTTCAGTCATTTTGCCGAATCTTTCACGAAGGAACTTGACTAACTTTGAGGTTTGATGGAATTGGAAAGTATGCGTTGACGTAGTCACAGAATTTAGTAGTTGCAAAATTCTGTTTGGCTCTGGCAAAAAAAGTTTTGATATTGATCGTTTTAGAAAGGATATGCATCATTTGAGTGACAAATTTTGCGAAAGCATTGTAGCGTGATATTTTGACTTGAACAGGTGGAAGAAACTTTATAGCGTACTGTATATTATCTGAAATAAGACGCCCTTGGTATAAAGGTCCTAGACCAGTACGGCCACTTCCTAAAAATCTCCAAAAAGTTCTTGCCTGGGTGGGTTTGTGCCAAGGGCAAAAAAAGTTTACACTGTTTCACTGACATCATGGATGCAAGGTTATACACAGAAATCTTGGAGCAACCGACTAGGCAATGTTAATGTGTGAATATATGGCAGGTAATCGTAGAGCACGGAGAAATCGCAATACTCTGATGAATTCCGTACACATTTTGAGAGAGGCCCAAGAAGATAGTTATTTAAAACTCGATTGTTTTAATACTCTTTAATGTGCTAAGTGTTTTGGACTTTTAATTAAGAAAAAGAGTTTCAGCTAAGTGACGGGAAATGTTTTAATCCCAAGCCAACGAGTAGTTTTCAATATCCACTCTACCCGTATTTGGTGAAATCTTGTTGAGTCTGAGAATTGAATGGGTAACATCTGGAACGCCTGGTTGTGTTTTAGCCCTTTAGAGAAGAACGATGAACTAAATTATGTTATAGTTAAAGAAGCCAGAACACAGATAATAATGAGTAGCTCCTACAGTACCATGCTAAATTTACTTTGATATTAGCACCCCAACCCCCAATGGAATGTCCGTCCCGGAAGATAAATAAAACGTTCAAGTTCTCATAATTGGTTGCCCCGTGTGCGATCAGGTTCGCAATTATAGCAGCTCGATCTTGGTTTGGGACCCCATTACGACAATTTGCAACGGCTGTGTCGTTAAAGCCTTGCAT